TTTTATCTTTGGCAGTTACAGCTGTCTCCTCCTGCCACAACTGACTTTTCTTCATTGCTCAGACTTCACTTCGGTTAGAGAAGTGTCAATATAGTCAGAATGATCAAGTACAATGTGAGGGAACAGTTTCTGAGAAAGCCTGTACCAAGCCGTAAAAATCTCATATGCTTTACTCTCAGATGGCTAGAATGCCAACAGATCACTCTTTTTTTCACTTAAATCAGTTTCCTAAGCCTGACTGCAGTCCCATCAAACAGTTCCACAGAAAACCTACATTACAACAGAAAAATATACATATCATATCAAACTAAACAGAGACAAGGGTGCTCAGAATATCCTGGCATGCAGCTTAAAAGATCCTGGTCCTCATTTGCCACAGGCTTTGCAGCGATGCTCTCACAAGAGCATCTTACCCAAGGCAAGGGAGAACTAAAACTGAGCTGCAGCTCATCCAGATGTTGTGTGCTATATCTGAATCTTTTAGTTACACCGTTGTCATTTCATTAGAAATAGTGAGACTGTTTTTTATTAAAAAAGGAAGCAGCAAAACATTCAGGTAAACATTCTAGTTCAGTAAATTCATTTCTCTAAGTGTTCCATCTTTTCCAGCTGCTAAATTATGCAAAAAGGTTGGAGAAGGGGGAACACCTGAGAGAGTTTTATCTGGGAGTAGATGCCACATTTTTCATATGATCACTAGCTGCAAAAGGATACTTACTATACAATCTCAAATATATGACTCTTCTAAATATACCATTCCAAACCTGTCTTCTAAATAACTTTTCCTGGACTTTCTGCTGCAACAGCTCAATTAAGAAAATACACAATAAAATCTATGCCTCAGATTACAGTAAGGAATGGAGGAATTTTCAAATATCTTGCAGAACAGGAAAGGAGCATCAGATCTTTAGCTGGAGGCTCATTGTTAAATAATGAGGTTATAAGCCTGACATAACAGTTTTACAGTGGATTTTATGAAGCCCTAAAGGCCAAATTGTTTTTTAATTTCTTTAAAATGGGGAGAAAACTTCAAAACGGATAAAACATTGAAACATCTTTTTTCTGTCTAACATGGAACATAGTTAAACAAGCTCTTCCTGGAACAGCAAAACAAAAGCAGTCTAGATTTGTACTGACTTTGTCTTTTGTCTCCTAAATCTCCTCACTCTAGTACCTCAGCTCCACCCTGTATCCTCAGCAGGCAAAAGAAAATAAATGCTTGATTATTCACCAGCCAGCTGCTGCCTTAAACAATGAATAGAAATTGAATTTTGCTGAAGTAGAGCACTCATCCTCTGTGTATAAGGATACCTAGCTGCCAATTTTCATGAAACCTTTGAGAACCAATTTTCTGAAATGTCTATGCCTTTAGATTTGGTTGAAACATGCCAATTGATTAAAAAGTTACGGGGTGACAGGAGAAGGGAATCGGAGACTGATAGATGGGACCATGTAACAGCCTGTGTTACATGTGTATATTTGACCTATGTATTTGATCTGTGTATAACTTGTCCAGTTTAAGACATACCTCTTATCAGATAACTTGAGTAAGCTACTCACTGGATGCTAAGGCACTGGGAGGGAAGACCTGTGGTTAGTAACTTGTAAACAACAACAAAAAAGACAAAAAGGTCTCCACATTTTTTGTTTGGAGTTCTCTCCCTATTTAGACAAGCCCCAGGCTCACACAAAGCTTGTCTTCATACAGACTGACCTTGGCAAAATAATTTTTTTCTTATGAAAAGGAACTCTAAATAACCTAGAGGCGGAAAAGTACTCTTCACAACTTTAACCTGTTGGATCATAATGCTTGAAGTATATAAAAAAACCCAGACATCAGCATCTATACACACATTCTCATTATTAAAAATATTATAAAAAAGAAAACTGTTACAGTTTTAATTACAGTTAGTATTACAAGGACTACAAACTGTAGAGAAAGGTGAGCAGGGTAACATGGGAAAGAGTAACCATACTCTGCAAGTTTGTGATTGAGCTTATTCTGCTCTAGCTCTCTGTATTTGATGCTCCATTTACCAAGCAGAACAGATATTTCGAAATACATAGATCAACATCAACAAGAGCGACAAGTTCTCCTGAGCACTTCCGTTGGTGCAAAGCAACTTCAAGGATCCTTACCTCTTCCCTCTCCTTCCTCAGTCATCCCACGGCAAATACCGAGTTTGCCTGTGGCTGGTTGTGCACAGGTGCACTATCACCCTGCCAGAGGCCTGATTTTCAAGAAGCATTCATTGCCCTTTCCAACTTTCCAAAAAGTAACTAAGACAAATCAAGGGCTCAATTTTCTGAAACAGCCTCAGGTCACTAGTTGCTTTGAAAATATTAGCCTATAATACATTTTGGAAATTGATTTTCAGGAGCACCACGATGTCAAGGGCCCTTTGGCACACGCTAAAGCTAAACTGAAAGAGCTCTCAGGTGAGCTCAAACACTGTCCACGTGCAACAATTCAGAAAGTAAACACTGATAAAGTTTTCCTGGGGAGCAAAAGGCATCAGTACATTATTTGTTAATTGAAAAGAACACAGTGAAATGACAACTTAGTTCCCGTCAGATTTCATTTTAATGGACTTGAAAATTACTGGCCAACTTAGTCAGCAGTAAGTGTGTAATTAACACACTTACCCAGTTATATGATTCTGCTTAATCAAATTCCAATATATTTAATCATCCAATAACTGTCTGGAAAGAAAATATCACATGTTGAATATGATTTTACGGGAATGGTACTTAAAGACTATTTTAAAAAGAGAATTATGTAATACCGAAAAAGACGAGCTAAAGTTTAGAAGGAAATTAGCATAACAAGAATACTTGGAATAACAAAAAGTACCAGCTCTGGGAATTCTTAGGCTACTGGGCATCATGCAAGGAATTAAATGCTGGATGTACAACGGCTGTACACATGGTAATGCCTACTTTCAGTAAGTGAAAAATGAAAAGCAGTGAAACAAATATAATTAATTTTCATAATAAAGGACAGAAAGGTTATTTCTGGAGATTGTAGACAGAATTATTCCAGATAGTTTCAGTTTGGATCATCGGTTTTAACCTCCTGCTAAAGTCATGCATGTAATGTAATAACACATTTTTCATTACTCTCTGAATTCATTGAGGTCAATGGCACGGGTAGAGAGCATTAATGCTTTCTTTTTTAATAGGTTTTTATGTCATGATGGGCCCACATGCTCCTTCAGTTGAAAGCTGACTTTGAGTGTCAGCGTGGAATCGGCAGTTCAGCCTACACCTTATTTCAGTCAAGGACGAACTCTTCAGTTGGGATTGCGGATGACTCTCCATTTCTTTTGTAGTATTTGATAGGAAGTGATACTTTGGCCTAAGGGGGAAATAATAAGGTGCAGTCTTCTGGATGGGTTTCACAGCTAAAAGAAACTTATATGAACACTGAGCTGGAAGAACGAGAGACAGCAATGCCAGTAACAGCCATTGGAAGCCTTTGGGTTCAGCTGGGATGTTAAGCAGTAAAACTGGGATGAGAGATCAAAACAAGACAGATATGTCTTTGGAAAAGGGGATTGACTGATACCAGACTAAGCCATACAAGGTGCTTGAACAAACCCGGAAATATTTCTTTTGGTGAGAGAAGGCATCATATTCTTTCTGTGTTGTGTATTCCCTAAGCTTTAATACCTGCGGAGCCAGGTAAACGCTTACTGCTAAAAAAAAAAAAAAAAAATTGCAATCAAGGTTACGTAAATAAAACTTTTAGTTGCATAAACACACTGAAAATAACAACAGAAATTCAGGCTTCAAAGATGGGAAACTATCGAACATATATTAGAATGACTGTATATCATTTTCAGGCAAAATTTACTGGGAGAAAAGCATTCAAAATTGTTTTTTGGCCATTCACATTTTTTTTTGCCAGCAGTCTTCTATTCAATCACTCTGAATTGCCTTCATCACCTCAGCATTATCAGAGCTTTGGGACGTGCTATCCAAGCGATACAGCCATAAGAAAGCCATGCAGTTAAGAATGAATTCTTACCTTATCCATGTCAAATGTATGAAATACTTGTTCAACATAATTGTTAGCTTCTGGAGTAAGTCCGTGCAGATCCAGGACATGTTTAAATTCATGCAAACAAAGCTGTCCAGATGGGCACTCCTTCATAAATTTTGTGTACCAGTGATGAATTTCCATGGCATTAATATCATCTGCTGATCCAGCGGCACCCATAGCATCAAACATTCCCAAAACCCTTTTTCAGTATTTATTCATCCAAACATTCATTCTCCTTTGTCTAACTGCTTCTCAACAACAACTGTTCAAACATCAACTCTGCTTCTGAGAGCTATGTTAAACCTCTTACAGATCACTACAGATATAGACTAAGTAAATATAGCATCCTGGCAAGATTACCAGTGCCCAGTTTTAGAGCAGCAAGGTTTTATCAGCTGATCACGGTCTTACACCCAGTTGGCTCTCAGAGCCTCGGCACAGCATGAGGATAAATTGCACTGCTGCAGATGGTGGCCCGATTCACATTGGCATCCACGGTGCTGAAGTTATATAAATTGTCTGCCTATTGAATAAGCAACACTGAGAGACTTTGAGGATAGTTTCTAAACCTTTTAATAATTCACAGGGATCTAACTAAACCTCCAGCCCAAATGTCCTTTCACCTTTGCAGGGAGTATATGTATAACCATAATGCACACACTTTTCAGTAGCTTGCACAGTCTTGATAAAAACAGCACTCTTAAGGGTAGGCTGAGTTGCAATGGCTTTCCTTTCCCACCATATCTTTCCTGGGACAAGAGCCATAGAGAAAAAGATAGGCTGCTGAATATGTTAAAGGATGAGAGAAGTTAAGCAAAGTCCCACTATGAGACCTGAAGATGCAGCAGTAAGAGCTGCATGAGCTTTAATCGGTACAAAGCATCTACAGAAGCGTTACTCAAATACCACCCTCAAGTGAAACCTCTCAGAACATTTCCTCTATCCTTATTTTAATATTTGGATACCTTTTGGACAGCTGCCTTGCAGCATAAATGTGTCCACTCTGACTTTTCATTTTTATTACTTTTTTATATACCATAGTCCAAACCTTTGCATGGAGAGATTATGGGCCAAGCCTGCAACATGATTTGACTTGGATAACCTGAGAGAACTTAAAGCAGATATCCACCAAGCCTGAAACAAACTCCACTATCATTAGAGAGCAGTAATACAAGCATCTGAGTCTGGCATAAGCCAATATTGTCCTAAAAGCTGCTCCCCTACTACCACTGCTCATTCAGTCCCATGCCTCCCCCTCTCTTAGGCCAGCACGAGTGTTTGCATGGCTGCACTTGGGAACAACTGCAAGAACTTGCCCAGGTTAAAACTTGCAATAAAATAAAATACTAATAAAAATGGTTAGCTTTAAACAAAAATATTTAAATTTTGCATTACCTGGTCTCACAAAACTGAGTTGTACAAGAGAGCAGATAGTGGGCACAGAAAAGAACGGCGAGCAGCAGAGCGAATGCAGGACTGCTTCTTTTGGCGGCTGAGACTGTGGAAACTTGTAGTGTTATAATATAACATCTATACTGTATAGCAGTTTATAGCAGTTTACAGTCTTACAGTATATTTTAGCCTTATTGTATAAACCACAGCACACATAAGCTGCTGGAGTGTAAAAATATGATTGTTACGTTTAAAAATGACCTACCATAAAGGCGTAGCCTCACCTATGAGATCGTAGTGGGGTCTCAGAAGAGGAAAGGCAGGCACGAAACGGCTGGCATTTCTACTTTGCTCTGTAGGTTCAGCTGCCCATGGGGCGCCCATGTGAACTGCTTGGGCTGCACGAGCTCATTCTCCCTCTGGGCAAGGCCTGGGCATGGTTAGTCATGATAGCAGTATTGACAGCCACGAGACACAAATCTCTTACAGTTTGGGTCTTAAAACTGCAAAAAACTCTTATAGTCCTTTGACCACACCTGGCTTTCACGCAACACGGGAGCCGAGCGGCTGTGCACCCACAGCATGGGAGCCACAAGGGAAGCATGGCAAGACCTGGGCCGGGCTGCCCCTGCAGTCTTTGGAGAGGGTAGAGGGTTACGGCGTAGAGGCTCACGCGGACACCTGGAGTTTAATTCTCAAGACAACGAAAGAGCTGGGACACACTAACCACGTGAGATTAGAATTGCAAAATACATCTTGGAAGTGCGTACAAGCCCTGGCTGCAGAGGGCAGCAGGGCTGCAACAAACTGGGCTGCAACTGGAGAGGACTTTCTGCATGTACCAACAGCATAAACCAGCTTGCAGCCACTCAGGACAGTGCTGCTGGGGAGGGAGAGATGGGGAAAAAAGCACTCCTGGTGTTTAAAGGACTTTGGTAGCAACATAGACAGTAGCTGTCATTAATAGGGGATTTTTCTAAGCTCCACTCTTTCCTTGAAGCCCTGTCAAGAGTCTCTACAGAGCAATGGTAGCTGTTTGCTAATGTGCTGCCTGATACAGGATCAGAGCCTTCAATACTGAGAGGCAGCAGGTTTACCTGTGTAAAATACTGAATAAAAACAGAATAAATCCCTGCTATATGTGAACTGCTATTTGGAAATGCTCTACTTCAAAATATCAATGACAGGCAAAGATTCGCCAACTGTCTACAAAACTGTATTTATAAAAGGCAGGAACAGCAAACAAAGAAAAGTAACTTGCAGAAGCAATCTTCAGTCTTTTATCTTTGTTGATCAAATCTGAATTTTCAACAGCTATTATTCTGAAATGCCAATGCAGAATTTTTCAAGTATATACCTACCAAATTTCTGCTTCAGGCAAACAGAATAAGTGTTTTAAAACCCATATGCAACTTAGATTTTTATTTCCCCAGAAATAACAAGAATGTTCAAAAGAAAAATGAAAGGTTTTGAATTCCAGAAGCCACAGGCTTTTTTTTTTTTAATATAAGACTTGAATACAAGACTTCACAGTAATTTTTTGTATGTTCTCATTTTCAAATGTTTCTGAAAATTGTAACAGCATAAATATGAATATCAAAAACTAAGTCATCTCAGTCCTTGAAAACATATTTCCTTCATGTAACATGGAAGGATCTCCTACCTCTGTTATGTTTGTCTTTACAGAAGACAAGATTAAAACACCAGAGAAATCTGCATTTTGTTTAAGTAACTCTCCAAGATAATCATCAAGCTGTTCTAAATCATCTACTTGAGGAATCTGAAAAAAATTAAATTTTGCAGTGCAACATTTGACAGAATAAACAAACATATGAACAAACAAGACATGCTTATTGGCAAAAAGTCAGCATTGGAAAAGAAATGAGATAGACACCCCAGAGATTAGAAAAAGCAGTGCAACAATCCAGAATAAAATGGGAGCACGGAAACAGAATTAAGCACACGTAGGAGAAGAAATTGCTTTCAAATGAGTTCTTATAGGCCATGTTTCAATTAGGAGCGCTGTACAGGTGGATTATAATGATGAAGTACACACAGATTAGAAGCACTATGCTGGAAAAACTGGTTTTGGGGGTTTGTTTGTTTGTTGCTACTGTTTTTTATAACCAGTTTAATACTACCACTCTGAGGAAAACTGACTTCTCTAGTTAAAGCACAGTTTTGTTAGAACTGTACCTGCACACCTGGGTGAGTCACAGATTAGATTTCTTCACATGCACGACCCTACAAGCAAAATCTGGACAACAGAAATGGAGTAAGAGAGAATGCAGAAGAAAGTAGAGGTGGTGATGAACTTGCACGCTGGGTCTGCAAGCAGTGTAATAAAATGGGAGTTAAAAACAGCTAGCAGAGGAAAAGAAAGAGAGATGAGAGTGCCTAGCAGGAGTTTGAGAAGGTGAGACCCTGCAAGAAAGGATGAAAAAAAATGAAGGTGATGTCATAGAAGTAGTATGCAGCCTGGAAACAAGAAGCTGAACATATGCATCAGGGTGGAAAAGAGATTTTAAATCCAGAGAGTTCCTCCTGCCCAGAATCAACAGCCCTACGTAGAAACCCATTGCCTGAATAGCAGCTATGAACCAGGTGATTAGTTTCCTCTGAACGCAGTGAGAAAAAAGCCAGCTCACCTGGCACTTCTCAGCGCAGTACCAGATGGCACCCACACTTAGATCTTCATGATGTATTGGAAGTGACTCAAGACTACTAACAGAGGTTATAAAGTAAAGGTCCTTGAGGCTTTTACGAATTACGTCTAGCAGACTTTGAATCCTCTTTGTGCAGTGCTATGAAATATATGAGAAAATGTAATGAAGGATTTCTAACCTAAAAATTGCAGACAGTGAAGCCCATAATATCAAGGCAGAGACATCAACAGCCGTTTTATGGACAAGCCTCAAGGGACTAAGCTTTTCCCCCCACAGTAAAATTCTCACTAAGTCTAAGTGTTATATATTAGCACCATCAGTCTCTGCAATTCATGGGAATAAGACACTTGGACTTTAAGGCCATAGAAAACCTTCACCATTTAGAATTTTTATCTGATCCCTTTGCTGCAGTGACAGGCAACAATCTTAACTGTGGCCATAAAAATAGCAGATCGCTGATCTGAAAAGTCTTGCTTTCCTTTGAAAAGGAAAGACAGCCTTAGGAGATCCTTTCTGGGATGCTTTGAAATATTTCTGCAAAATAATTTGCAACAGATTCGCTTGGAAGTCTTAAAGAATGAACACTTGCATTATTACAATGTGGAACTAATTGCCATGAGATTGTATGGGGGCCACAAGTAAATACAGGTTCAAAAGGCAATTAGATGATTTCATGGAGCAAAAGCTCATTAAATCCCTGTATTGAACTTATCAGCTGGTTAAGAAGGTACTGGCTGCTAGAGGCAGGGCAGGTGACCAGGGCACCCTTTCCCTGGGCATATCCTCCTGGCTATTGGCAGTGACCGGATGGTGGATCGGAAG